AGCTGCGGCGGGGAAGGAGTTCAAGGTAAGGAGGAGAGGGGCTTGTCCCGGTGCTTCCTCCCTGCCGGCAGGGCGCGGAGCCTGAGCGGCTGCGGCCGAGGCTAGCGTGCCCTACCCCCTCGGTTCAGCCTCCCGCGTCCCGCCCGCCGGCTGCCTGCGGTCACTGTGCCTGGCGCTCGTGCGAGACGCTGGGGGCGGGGCGGGGCGGGGCGGGGCGGGGGTGAAAGCCCCACATGGAGCCTTGAGTTGCTGCGATCGTAATCTTGTAATGGAGATTGCGCTCGGTCGACCCTGCGGTGCGGGGGCAGCAGCTGCGGTGGAGGCTGAAGTTTGGCGGAAGGGCGAGCCGCGCAGGGCCGGCCGGGTGCGAGTCCCCGGGACGGGTTGGGAACCACCGCAAGCGGACGCGTGTTTGATTGCCTCCAACTTGCGACATGATCGAAAGCTGTGGGAGAGACGCGCTCACTGCCTCTTGTGCTGCTGCGGACGCGCTGGCCAGGCAGCACTTGGTTTCATCTGCTCAGACCACTGGGAGGAAGAGAGCCCTGCCTGGTTTGGGGGGGGAGGGGATAAAGGGCTCACTAATGACTTTTCCAAGAAAGAAATTGATGGCACAGAGCATAGAGCCGGCTGGTTGCGGGCAGAAGCCTAGTAGACGAGCTGGGGAACAGAGCCTAGCTCTCCTTTTATGTCTACACCATTGGCATTGTAGCCTTTAAGAACTGTCTGTACTATACGTGACAAGAAGCAAGCAGGGGCTATTAGCCTTTCTGGGATGCTGAAGAAACCATAAATGTAGAGCAAAATTGGCTCAGCTACTACGATCCCATTTTTGAGCTTGAGAGCTGGTGTTTCAGTGAATGAATTGTGGAGCAATCATTTTATGAAATGCTGTTGCTTGCCTCATTTGGTGAAAGTGTGGAGCTGTTCAAGATGTGGGAGTCTGCTGAACCAAGTAGCAACTGAAGGCAGACGAGACTCTAAGTGTTCTCTTAAGTTTGCTTCTTGTTCAGTTTTTGTGAGATTAAAAAAACTGAGCCCGCAAGATCCAATTACTAATGTAAGTTTTATTGAAGGGAATATCCAAAGAAGATACCAAAAATGAATTTCAACTTTTTTCTTGTTATCAGTGAAAGAATGGAAGTAATTTTGACTTGCTGTATGTAGGCAATAAGAAGGGCTGATGTTGTGGCAGGGTAGGGCTCAGTTAACGTTCTGACAACTGTCTTATCAAAAAAGATTGTGGTGTTCATATGGATAGCAGACTGCAAAAGAGTCATCTATAAACATCTAAGGAAACTGCCAGGACCAGCATCTTTGTGCAACAGCTAAACAAAGGGACTGATTTAAATCTAAAGTTTTATACTGAATATAACAAAGCAGAAATATTTGAGGTAGTCAGAAATAATTTGTTTCTGCATTTGAAATGTATACCTAAACCTGAGTAATAGCTCCACACTTGAATGACTCCAAAACTGTAAATTTTGCATAAAATAAATAAAGTTGAGAGAGAATAATAATGCTTATTTTAAATACAGCGGAGAAAATCTGTCTGAGCGCATTGAATTCCACTTAAGCGTTTCATCTTGGCAAAAGAGAGAGAGGGTTTTTTTTTGTGAATTGTAAAAGATGAGGTGAGAATATTAATAGCTAAGCTCTGGGGACCTAGGGGTTAGTTCAGTAGGCAGGAAACTCTTTCTTTTAAGAAAGAACTGGAAAAGATACCTGTACATGGCAATTTGGATGGATGGTGCCCAGATTTTAAAATTAAATTTAGTATAGCTTAAAAAAAATCTTGCAGCTGTAAGACTCACTTAGTTTTTCTTTATGGAAATACCAAGCGATAGTGCACTGAATGTGTGTGTGTGTGTCTGTGTATGAGAGAGAGAGAGAGAGAATATTCTTCATTTTAATTACATTTTCACCAAATAACAGGGATATATTTATGAGGGAAAATCTGTTTTTTTTTCTGTAAGGTCCATTAAGATCTTTGTTCGTATTTTTTCTCCAGAAGAAGTCTTACTGCTTCATGGCTCCCTTGTTCATCCTTGCAGCGTTTCTTTAAATGTGAGCACGAGAATGCCTAGCTATAGTTAAAGGATAATTTATATTCAGTGTAGTACTGTCTGCTCAGTAGAATTGGTTTTATACATCACAGCCTCTGCAAAAAGGGAGATCAAAGATCTGAACCTGTGGTCCTGTACTGAATTTGTATTCTACATGGACCTGAGCAATATTATACTGGCGCCACTTACACTTCTACAGTCAGTCTTCCCATTACAACACCCATTTGTTTAGTGGTTTATAATTTAGTTCTAAGTATGCGCTCTGAGCTGAAACCAAAATACATTGGTAAGCACAAAGCATTGGGAGAGATTGTAATAAAGTCTGTGTTCTCATTGTCTGCCTGAAAAGAATTCAGAAACTTGAAGTGAACAGTAAGGAGAGGGGAAACCAAACTTCAGATTTTGGGGTCTCCTTGGATGCGAAGTAAGTGTTTGGTCTTAGATTTTCAGATGGCTAGGAAGCTGGCATTAAGGCTTTTCAGGAAAGTGAAACAATGCTGTCTCAATATAGTATGTAATTAGATCTGAGTTATGATGTTTCAGCCTCAGTCCATATTAGGGACTTTGCCTCTGAAATTATTCTGCTTAATTCTTTTGAGGCTAAGGTATAATAGGAAAACCAAAGGAAATCATGTCATTGCCAGTTAAATTAGCTATAGAATAAACTAAGAAGAAAGAAAACTATGTTAAGCTGGTGTTTAGAGTGGCCTAAGTTCGGAAAAGATTTGGGGATAAGGCCACAAAAGGTCACCCTTAACTTAGTACACATGAAAATAGGCATTACTGTGATTATGCGCTTCCATTAAGAGGATACCAGAACAGTAAGTGATGCTACTTGTTATCTTGCATTTATGTAATAGCTTTCTTACTGAAGGATCCCAAAGTCCTTTACAATTAATATCCATGCATATCTAATATATACCTGTCTCTAAGGTGTAAAATATTTACTTTACCATTGTAGAAAAAGTGTGTGGATGGTTATAAATATTTTGTGCCTTGATTAGGTTACAGAATTAAAGTCTATTCTTGAAGTGTTTTTCAGTGTTATGGTCATAAGTGTCTCAGTGCCTAGGCTCAAATAGGCTGAAATAGAGGAGCATTTTTACTCTTAACTCTGAATATTTTGGTGAAAATAGATTCTGATGTTCCTTGGATGTAAGTGTTTTTGTATTAAATAAAAAGTTCATGAGCCAGGTTATTCTAAGAAATGGAAAAAGATAATTGAGATGAGCCTTAGAATTATTGCCGTTAGCTCATTTGTCTAAGTACTGGTGACCATACCTTTCTATGAGTATTTTGACGGCCCGCATTCTCTGCAAACCGACTTACGGATACCCAGGCTAGTAACGTGGAGCAGGACATTTAAGGCAGAAATGGGTATTTCATTATCCCTTTAGATTTGTGGGGAGACTCCAGTTCTCATTATCCAACAGTAAAACAAGGAAAATAGTTTAAAAGGCAGTTTCTTTCAATTATGCTCTCTGAATTAGTAGAGCAACTTGCCAGAAATCATAAAAGCTTCTACTGGTTTCTTTTAAAAGCTCCACTGTTAGAAGAGTTTAAACGGCCCTTGAAATTGTCTCTGATGTGTTATGTAGT